ATATATAAGTCACTTAGGCTACGTTCACACTGCAGGTCTTAATGCTCAATTCCGATTCTTTGATCAAATATGATTTTTTTGTGATCTTAGGTGGTTATTTTATATTTCTTCCATTTCTGTATAATCACACAGTTCACTAACAGTCACCTTTGCACCAGGTTTCTTGCAGATGACATGCATGATAATGACATGCAAAGCCGCTTATAGCTTTTATGTAATTTTTTTTTTGTTCTGTTTTGTTTTTCTGGAAATTTGGTTGACATTCTGTCTCTCTCCATTAAACTGAAACTACCATAAAAAAATAAATCAATTATTTATACTCTTTTATACTCAATTATACTCTTCAATCTTCTTTTTCTGTCCCATCTCACTCTGCTCTTTTTTCTCTTTTCCATCACCTCTAACCATTCATGGCAAATCGCTGCCTCTTCCTGATCCTGGTTCTGCTGGAGGTTTATTCCTGTTAAAACGGAACTTTTCCTTCCCACTGTTGCCAAGTGCTTGTTCATAGGGGGTCATGTCATTTTTGGTGTTTTCTCTTAATATTGTACGGTCTTAATCTTATATCATAAATATATTGTAACTTTATTTCTTTATCAAAATAGTAACAAGCTGCAACATAAATTAATTCAAATGAATCTATACTATAGTAACTGTACTGTACTATACAGTAATTGTTACTTGTATCAGACCCTTATGTCTAATATGGTCTAGTGATATACAACATTTTATACTCACCCATTTCAGATGAGTTGCTCTCCATTTATATGAACGTGTCTAAGAACAGCAAAACAAAACTTAATATTCATTATTATTATTTTCTATTAATGCCAGTGCACCAAAATGTGCAGTGGAAGATCATACTTACCATGTGCAGCACAAAGACTTTAGAGCACTTTAGAGTTGTTCATGCCTCTTTTGGTATCTCTGTAGGTGAGAGGTAGAGTCAGCACCTTCTCAATAAGTCACTTATAAATAAGTAATGACTATAGCCTGAATAGTCTGAACACTGATGCTCTTCTCAACATGTTAATCATTTACTAAAAGTACACTTGTTTGCCAGACAGACCCATACCTGGGCGTTTCCCCCTAATCATTAGTTTCTATGTTGATTTATTATGCAAATTATAGGGACAGATTAATTATAATTTGTGAGAGAATATTTGGCAAGCACATTAGAATTGAGTTAAAAGTTGAATGCAGTTGGTGAACAAAAGAAAGAAATGAAAAAGTTTCATAGTATAAAACTTTATCTGAGAAACCACGATAACAATAATCACGGGTCAGTTCTGCTGTTAATCTAATGTTTTACTTATGCATCTTTCTGGTTATAAATGAAATAGATTTAGTTTGACGAAATGTAAGTATTGAACAGTAACAAGGTTTTGAATGCTAAAAGCTTGGGGGAGTCCCCCACCTTACACACAAACTCCAGCCATTGTTCTAGACAAGATGATAAACATTTTGAATTAACTTAAACTAAGGTACTCAGCTTTGTTTTTCCCTGATTTACCATGCACAGAATGGAGCATCTTGCTCTTAATAAAATGGTCTTCGTTTGATGGCTACAGTAAATTCTAAAATGTGCTTAAAGCTTATTTTACAGATTCACTTACCTAATCTGATTAGTAGACTGTAACAGCTCACTTCCTGGACTTGCAGTTGTGGGTTTGTGTTGCACAAAGCACTGCGTAAATCTTTCCTCTGTGTCATAATGGGCGTGTTTGGTTTGACAATCAAAGGTCTCAAACTGGACACCATTAAAAAAAATTAATGCACCGTAATAGAAACTAAGAAATTGAAACTTGAAATTGAAAAATGTATTTTGTTTGGTAGTTTTATGCAATTTTGGGGTGAGGTAGTTTTCAAGTTTTTACTGGTTCCTTTGTGCCATCCTTAATAAATACAGTATATTTGGTTAACTAAAGTGAAGAGATTCACATTTTAAATGAAGGCCTGTCTGAAGGGTGATTTTAGGTCATTTGAACTTCCTTCACATTCATAGCCATTCTATCACTAAATCTCCAAACAATTCTGACTGACACCAAGTAGTTCTGGCAAAAAAAAGTATTACAATTATTACAGATTTCCTACCCAACTAAAACACTGAGCAAAGCCATAGAATCTTTTATTCAGTTCAATTCACTTTTATTTATATAGTGGCAAAACACAACAAATGGTCACTTCAAGAGGCTTTATATTCTAAGGTAAAGACACTACAATAATACAGAGAAATCCCCAACAACCAAACAAGCCCCTATTTGCTCATGGGGTTCGTTTGGTTGATAGTGGGTAGAAAATACTCCCTTTTAACAGGAAGAAACTTCCAGCAGAACCAGGCTCAGTGAGGGGTGGCCATCTGCTGTGAGGGGAGATAGACCGCACAAAGACATGGAGTGGAAGAGAGCCAAAGATTAATAACTTAAAATTAAATGTGTCTGTCTCCCGAATTGGGAGCTTGTTCCACAGAAGAGAAGCCTGGAAGCTGATCTCTATTTAGACTAAAAGCTATTGCTACTGATACCCACTCATGTGTGATCACATTTATGTGAATTAATTTAAGTAATTCTACTTACAATGTAAGTGATATTTCCATTTGGGAATGCCCTAAATAATTACAGTAATTATTAACAGGAAACTTGGTAACTATTCTGGGATATTTGTAGCGGACGCTCCAGTTTTGTACCAGTAGGTGGCAGTGTGAGACCATGGTTTGGCCTGTTGTTAGCAGCCTGAAGCCATGCTCCGCTCTGTTTTCTCATAATGGCGGGGTATTCAGGAACGGCAAGCCACATCTCTTGTCTGATCATTTCTTTCCTGTTTGCAGGTTCGTATGTGCCCGAAATAGAATATAACAGCAATTGCATCCATTATGTTGCATCGATTAATCATTATGGTTGGAAATTGAAAGCGCACAACATTGTGTAGTATAATAAATTAGACTTTTGTCAGTATTTGTTTCCAGCTTTAGCAGCATGCTATGGTTAGCATGTTAGTTTAGCTCACACACCTCCTATGCTCTGTGATGTTAGTGATCGGCTCCACCATTATTCTGTATTGTTTTAGTATCTTGTTTTCTGCCATAAAGTGTTTCTGTGAATTCAGTGCACATGTCAAGATGGTGCTGATTACGCCATTCTTTCAAACTATTTGAGATTTATAAATTTGTCTTGTTGGAATTCGTTTTGAACAAAGTCTTACAAGAATATTGGTCATGTTTATGATGTTGGAATGTGTTAATTCCCTTTTGTCTAATTGGTAACAGAACACATATGGAGAATGTGTGAGCTATGTTTAGGAATAAGTAAATACACAGTTGTAATACTGTAAAAGTAATAAAAAGGAGTGCATAATTGTGAATTTAAATAAATAATGGCGGAGTATTCAGGAACCGCAAGCCACGTCTCCTTGTCTGATCATTTCTTTCCTGTTTACAGGACACATATATAGCTGCCTACAGGTGCTGCCACCCGGTACCTGTAACAGTTTTCTGGGGGCTGGTCCAGGATCAGTCCTGCCTTTGTGGCTTGGAGCTGATCCAGTGATACTGGTACTTTGGGCCAAGAGTGGCAAAATAAACACCAACAACTCCAGTCTGCTGGTTGTTATCTACACCTCCTGCTGCTGCCTGATGGAGGATTGCTTGTGCAGGAAATGCATTGGCCATGTGTCACAACTAGTGTAATGGACAAGAAATAAGAAAAAGGACAAATAAGGACCTCTTGGTGCTGCTTGGTGCTCGAATCATCGCCCATCAAGTAGGGTTGGGCGATAT